ACAAGCCTTGGTTACACAATTGATTTGTTTTCTTGTGAAAAGGACTGATTTCTATCTAGCTATGAAGAGTTTAAGGGTGGTTAAAACTATTTTCTTCAAATTCTGCATTAAGAAAAATACTATTTAAAGAATGTTTCATGTGTTCAAGAAGACATAATCTACTAAATTAAAAATTAGAGATAGATTAAGAAGAAAAAGAGGGCTTTATCTTATTCCTGCCAGAAAACAGAACTTGAAAAAAACCGACTAACACCCTGCTTCTTGCCCTTTGTTTGTGTTTGTACTTCTGGCTGGCAGATCTGATGTTCTAATGGTCTAGTGATCTAATGGTAGTGATGTCCCTAGGACCGAGCTTTGGACTGGTGAACAAACAGGGGTCAGTGGGTGATGCATTTGGGGCCAGGTTTGTCTGGTGCAGCCCAGTGGCCACATATGGGGGGAACTGAGCTAACTGAATGTACAGAAACCTCTCAATGTTGAGTTACATAAAGGGAAGGACAGAATTGGAGGTCCGGCCATGAACTCAAGGTTTTCTGACAGCAGAAAAGACATCAGTGTGTGTGTGTGTATACTTAGATGTGTCCCAGCTCTCTCCGCCCAATATAGATGGAATCACACTTTGTAGTGTTCTGTATCTTGTTTCTTCCATTCAGCATGATGTGTTTGAGATTCAGCCATATGGCTTCAGGTGGTGCAATCCATTCATTGTATGGAGATACCTCAGTTCAGTCATCCATTTTACTGTCTGTGTACAGTCGAGGCTTTCCCTCAGTGTTTGCTGTTAAAAACAGTACTTTGAACATTCATGCAGTGTTCCCTGATGAAGTGCAAGTTTCTCAGGCATACACCAAGGCATGGACTGTACCAAGGATAGGTATGGACTTAATCCTGGCCCGGGAGTGGGTATGCCACCATGGCAGCTTGCATCTTCCCACCCTGGCCACAACTTCTCCCATACCACATGCTTCTCTTAAAATGTGACTCTGACACTTCTTCCATCATGAAGTCAGATCTTTATCCCCCATCTCTTCAGTTTGGACAGACTTGTCATTGTGGCAGGAATGATGCTATGGGACTTCTGAGACTAGCATATGAGAAGGGATACAGGTCCCATCTGGTTCTCTTGGGACTCTTGCTCTTGGAAACTGGTCACCATCTTTCAAGGAAGCCTCTAAGGCCCTCAGCCCACAGCTTGAGCCAAGCCACCTGCCACATGAGCGCATCGTCTTGGAAGAGGCTCATCCAGCCCCCAGTGGCCAACGCTGCCTGGGGTAGACTAGCTGTGCCGGTTGAATCCTGCTCAGATAGCAGATCTGTGAACAGACGGAATAAATGTTTCCAGTTACAGAGTTTTTGGGGTGGTTTGTTATGTAGCAATGGATAACTGATACAAATGCACAGCTTCTCTGGTAATGCCGTGTTATTTACCAAGATAATTGTCCACTTGACATGTGGGGCAGTAGGGCGTGTGTTCCAGCCGCTTTACCTGCTCGAACCACTGGACATTTCCAGGTTTCAATGTTTGTGGCTTTTAGTTTGCATTTCCAAAATTGTGAGGTCATTGGCCCTTTCCATGTTGATTATGACTCTGGTGTCTTTGCTCATTATGGGTTTTGCTCATCGCTCTACTGGCCCTTCTATATGTAAAGAGTTCCTTATGTGTTCCGGACACCAACCATTTGCAGAGTATGTATATTGCAAATGTATTCTAGTTTTTTGTCTTCATTCTCTTCAGACTGTTTTGAGGAACAAAAATAGGGTTCATACTTTCCATCCTTTTATTCTTAATGTGTCATTTTTCAGGTGTGTAAGTTTACATAATTTAAGTTAATTGCATTCCTGAGTTTGCACAAAGTAATAAGTCTTCAAGAACAAAAGAAGTAAATTCTTTTTTGTTTGCCTTGAGACAGGGTCTCGCCATGTAGCCAAGGTTGGCCTCAAACTTGCAGTCTTCCTCCTGCCTCCCAAATGTTGGGATTACAGGCATGTAACATTGCACACAGCAAAAGAAGTAAATTTTAAGTATTTGTCAGATTTGGGTGGAAGTAGTAGGCAAAGGCCAATAGCAGGCCTATAGTGAAATCATCCATTTTTAGGTCACCAGCAATTTGAGGAAATGAATTTGGGACACCAAACTTGTGTGTGTTGTGTAGTGCCTAACACTTACGTTCTGATCTTAAAAAGCTCTGCTTTTGAAAACGAGTCTAATTCAATCACAGTTCTCCAATTACTTGTATGAGCTCTAGATTTAATTTTCTTAGAATTTTGATAATTCCTCCTCTATACATTGTGTGATTTACTTTAAAGAGGATCCTTCCTCTCTGAAGGCTTTTCAGCATGTCTCTTCATCCTTGAAATTCCAGAATGTCTTTCTGGCATGCCATACATAGGACTTTTTCTGCACTCCTGTACTCTCTTCCATTCTCTGAGAAGCCATTGTCTGTCTCTGGCTTTCTCATGTGCTGTGGAGCAGGGTTTCATGTCTTTTCATCTTTTCTTTCATGAGACTGTGTCTTGCTTTTGCTCTGTGTTGTGGGAAATCCTTGAGCTTGTTGGTTTGCATCCGGTTTCCCCAAGGTGGAGAGAAGCGTACAGGTTTGGTTTGCTTGCACTTCACTGCTGGCTGTCTTGGCATGTTTGGACTCAGGTCAGTAGGTATCTGTACAGCAGATGTGACATTTGCAGCTCCTAGGTCTGGTGCACATGTGCTCAGGGCCCCAAGCCTGGGGCTGCTCCCATCATGGCCCATGGCGGGTCTGGAGTGAATACTGGCTAAAGGTAGGGCCTTGCTAAGGACTGACTACTGGGTGACCTTGGCTATGGTACTAACCTACTCTGTAGTCTTTTACTTCCCAACCCATACTTTGGGGTGTAGGGGGAACAAGTGCTGTCCAGCAACAGGCCTGTGGGGCTCTATTCCTGACTGGGATGCTTGGGTGAGCAAGGCTGCCCCACTGGCAAAAAGGTATTTGGTGGAGCATCCTGACTAGTGGTGGTGTCCTCCCTACCGATGTGCAGGAAGCACTCACTGACTCAAGTCAGGAACCAAGCTATATCCTGAGAGGAACAGCCTCTCTTCCTGCAGGGCCTGTCCTAATGCCACAGGCACACATCTCCAGATACCAATCACAAGTCCTCAAGGAAACCAAAGAGCCATGTAGGATTCTACCTCATCTTAAAATACTTTGGAATTAATATTAGAAGGAAAATTGTCAGGAAACCATTGAATTTTAGAATTTAAACCAAAGGCCAAAGCGGAGAAGGCTGGATGCTGAGTACCGATCAGATTTCTAAGCTCCTGCCCTGCCCGTGGGGGCACTCGCTGTGTTTGAAATGTCCAGTGGTCTCTGTAGGTTTTATGCAATACTGGGTAGGGAGTAAGGGTGTATATACCTACATTCTAGGTATATAACACTTAAAGGAGGACGGTGTGAGCTGGGGGACTACCCCTCAGGCCTGGCTGTCAACGGACCTTCTGGGGCCTCCACACTTGTCAGGGACTTCTTCAGTCATCCCCATTTCCTCCCAACATCCTGCTCCACCCAGTCAATGATCCCTCCACTCCAGGTCCAGCCTTCCCTGACTCCAATCTTCTACCCTATCTGGTACCACCAGGGGTAGGGCGCCAGTTACCCACGGCCCACTGTGGGACCCACTCCTAGACTGGTGACCCTCCCTCAGGTTTCCGTGCTCCTGGCTTCCTCCTGGTATCTTCATGGGGAGTCACCCTGGTTCACCCTCCATTCCCAGGGCCTCTGCTCTGGGCCTTCAGACCCACCCTGGTCCCCCAGCCCCACACTCTCAAGACCCCCACCATGGTCTCCCAGAACTACCCTGGCCACCCCATCCCACTTTTCAGGACGCCCACCACGGCCCCCCAGAACCTCCCTGGTCCCCCAGCCCCATACTCTCAGGACCCCCCCCACGGCCCCTCAGAACCTCCCTGGTCCCCCAGCCCCACACTCTCAAGACCCCCACCATGGTCTCCCAGAACTACCCTGGCCACCCCATCCCACTTTTCAGGACCCCCACCACAGCCCCCCAGAACCTCCCTGGTCCCCCAGCCCCACACTCTCAGGACGCCCACCACGGCCCCCCAGAACCTCCCTGGTCCCCCAGCCCCACACTCTCAGGACCCCCACCATGGCCCCCCAGAACCTCCCTGGTCCCCCATTCCCATACTCTCAGAACCCCCCCACGGCCCCCCAGAACCTCCCTGGTCCTCCAGCCCCACACTCTCAGGACCCCCACCACGGCCCCCCAGAACCTCCCTGGTCCCCCAGCCCCACACTCTCAAGACCCCCACCATGGTCTCCCAGAACTACCCTGGCCACCCCATCCCACTTTTCAGGACCCCCACCACAGCCCCCCAGAACCTCCCTGGTCCCCCAGCCCCACACTCTCAGGACCCCACCACGGCCCCAGAACCTCCCTGGTCCCCAGCCCCATACTCTCAGAACCCCCCACGGCCCCTCAGAACCTCCCTGGTCCTCCAGCCCCACACTCTCAGGACCCCCACCACGGCCCCCCAGAACCTCCCTGGTCCTCCAGCCCCACACTCTCAGGACCCCCACCACGGCCCCCAGAACCTCCCTGGTCCCCAGCCCCACACTCTCAGGACCCCCACCACGGCCCCCCAGAACCACCGTGGCCACCCCGCCCCGCACTCTCAGGACCCCCACTCTTCGCCCTCTCCTGACCCCGGCCGGCTCCGCCGCCCCTCCCCCGCAGGCCCTCCCCGCGCCGCGCTGGGCGAGCGCGCGTCATGGCGGCGGCGGCGGGCGGGGCGCGTCTCGCACGCAGCGCGCCGGGCGGAGCGCTCGCCGCATTGTTTGCTTCGCTGGGGAGCGAGCAGCGCCCCGGCCGGCGTCCGAGCAGCTCCGCGCCCGCGCCCGCCGCCCGGCCGGGCCCCGAGCCGGCCTGAGCCGGCTGCGCCGGCGCCGCCGACCCCGCCCGAGCCGCGGCGCCCTGCGGGCCCGGAGCCGCCGGCCGAGCGCGCCCGGAGCCCGGCGGGGCCCGGCTACGCGGCCGTTGGCGGAGGAGCCGCGGCGCCATTAGCGCCGCCTCGGCCGCACCGGCTCCGCGCCCGCCCGCCCGCCGGGCTCCCGCGGCCGCGGCGCCCCGAAGGTGAGTGGCGGCCCGGGCGCCCCTGCCGCCGCGCCGCCGCCTCCCGCCTCTCGGGCGGTGCTGCCGGCGCCATGTTTGGCGACGGCGGCGACTCCGCATTGTCCGCGGGCGGGGAGGCCGGGAGGACGAGGAGGCCGGGCGGGCGCGGGGCCAGGAAGCCGAGGAAGCCCGGGCGGCGCGGGCCGGGGCTGGCGGGGACGCCGGGGAGGCCGGGATCGGGACCCGGGTGCGGAAGGCCGGGGCGGGATCGGGGCCGGGGAGCTGGAGGCCGCGGCGGCGCGGGCGGCGAGGAGGCCGTGCGGCCGGGGCGGGGGAGGAGGCGGCTGCGGAGGCCGCGGCGGCGCGGGCGGCGGGCAGGGCCGGGCCGGGCCGGGCCGGGCCGGGCTTGGGGGCGGGCGGCCCGCCGGGGTCCGCCCGGGTCCGGGCCGGGCCGTGCCGAGCGGGTCGCGTTATGTAACAGATAGGCCGGCTCTGCTCTGCCCAGACGGGAAACTCCCTCGGAGAGGGCCGAGCCGCCCGCCGCCCGCGGGACGCTTGCAGGAAACGCCGCGAAACGGGCGGCGCGGCTTTCCCGGCCTTTGTGCGAGAAGCCGTTTTGCAGGGCACGACTGCCGGCGGCCCTGCTGGGGAGCCGCCCCTCGGTGCCGGCATTGCCGACGCCCCGAAAGCGCGCCGGCTCGGGCGATGGTTGAGGGCTGGTCGCCGGGTGCTGTCCCCGGCCTGCCCCGGGCGCGCGCGCGCTCGTGCTCACTCCTCGCACCGTGCGCTCCGCGAGTGGGACTGCGGCTGGGCAAGGCCAGGCAGGAAATGCGCCCGCTGGTCACAAGGCTGCCCGGGACGGCGTGAGCAAACTTACTTGTGAAGGAGCGCGATGTGGCCTCTGCCGGCCCTCCCCCATGGAAATGCTTGTTCCTGTGCAGACCTGCAGGGCCAGGTGCAGAGCCGCGGTGTAGCGAGCTGAAGCAGACGAGGCTGTTGGTCACTCTGCCGGACAGCGCTGCCAAATGCCTTCCTTCCCCTGCTCACAATTACATTTCCAAATTACAGAGCTGCTGGGACCGTTGAGTATTAGGTTAAATTCTTGTAGAAAAGTGGTTAAAGCGCTTCAGTGCTCCCTGGGAGAGTATGGGTTGTGGGGTTGGTTATAGTTAGAGCCTCTCGGTGCTTCACGGTAGAGCAGAAAATTACAGGTTTGTCTTTAATCTGGGGGTAATCAGCTGTTGCTTCTGCCTCCCCTCAGTAATGAGTCATGAACCTGTCCCTGGGTGCACTGGGATCCCCCTCCTTGCAGACCATTGGGCTGAGTCCTGGGGGCTGCACCCAGTTCACCTCAGGAGGGATGGCATTGCTGACAGCTCCCTGGCATTCAGAGGCACTTGGGACCTCTCAGATGCAGGCCTTGGGATTTGGCTGACCACAGTGTCTTCTTTATAGGGAGTTGCTATCTAATCAGGACATAAACGTTAGATTTCTACAACTCAAAAGGTCTGTCTTTAAAAGCCCATGCAGGGATTGTGGGGCTTTTTGGGACTTACACAGAGAAACCTGCTCTTTGAGAGCTTTTCCTGGAGAGCTAGATCACTGTGAGGCTGTCACTCTGACGCTAGACTTTCCTGACATGGGCTTCAGCTTGTAATATTTGTGAGTCAAACTCTTAACAAATCATTTTGCTCTCTGTGTCAGTAAGGCGTGGCTGTTTGGATGAGCAGTGCTCATCCTTGTCACCCATGCTGCTGCCCTGCTTGCTGTGGTGGTCCAGAGCGGGCATGTCTTTGCACATGGTGACTAGACATCAGCCCACACCAGGGAAAACTGGAAGTAGAAGCAGTCGGCAACATTTAGAGAGGGGAGGTTTCCCCATGCCACAGCGTGGAGATGCAGGCTGTGAGCTCACTGATTTTTGTCCGCCTCTGAAAAGTAACTTCTCATAAATGTTTCAGGCCCCTGAGCTATCAATAGGAAACTTCTGAGGGCTCTGGGCAGTGTGGAGCTTTGGGGTGTCTGCCCCTTCTGTGGAGCAAGAGCTGAGCGCCTCATCTTCACCTATACAGGAAGAGAGCAGAGGTGCCCTTTGGCGTGTTTCACATAGCTTGAAAAAAGGGCGCACATGGGTCTAACCCAGCCTGAGTGGTTTTCAGAGTGGTTACTGTTGAGACTCTGCAGAAGCTGGATTGGGCTACCCAAGGGCAAAAATGTCCCTATGGATCAGTACAGGGCTATCCTCTTGGGTCCTGGTCTGTGGCTGGTGGCCTTGTGCTTTGGGTATGTTTGTGGAGAGAACAGATAGGCCATAGTCTGTGTCCTGCTGTCTTATGTTGTTGGGCCATGGAAGCTCTAGCCCTCATCTGGGAAGCTGCCAGGAGTGTGGTGCACTTGGGCTCACTGGCAGCAGTGGAGAGGGGAAAGGGGACTGAGGGGTAGCATTCCTTGGGATGAGAGACCCATTGAGCATGCCTGCTTTACAGTCACAGCCTCCATGCCTGATGGAGCCTAGCCTTGAGCATGGACTTTTCCTGAGGGACAGCCTGAACACCAGAAAAACATTCTTACCCTTGTGGACAAGAACTGAGTCCCTACTTTGGAGGGCACATCCTGCTGATATCCTCCAGGTGACTTGTTGGCTGTTCAGCAGGAGCCCCTGAGGGCTGCTGCTCTGCCATCTCCTTCCCTGCTGCCATTGCTTCTTCCTTCTGGTTCTGGGGAAATCTCTGAAGCCTGGCAGGGAGGTGCCATTGGAGGCTTGTTGAAACGTGGTCATGAGTCCCAGGAGGACTTTCGGAGACTCAGCAGGATGTTAGCTGTGAGCTTCATCTTAGTGTGTTGAGTTGATTAGTTATGCTGCCCAGACATACTTTCATGGCTTTCTCACCCTGCATGGAATTAACTTTTCCTTTGACTTTATTTTAGGTAATCATTGCCAAATGAGGAGGAAAGGACGATGTCATCGAGGCTCTGCAGCGAGGCACCCTTCCTCTCCGTGCAGTATTAAACACTCCCCCACCCGAGAAACACTGACCTACGCTCAAGCTCAGAGGATGGTTGAGATAGAAATTGAAGGGCGCTTGCATCGGATCAGTATTTTTGATCCCTTGGAGATCATACTAGAAGATGACCTCACTGCTCAAGAAATGAGTGAATGCAACAGCAATAAAGAAAATAGTGAGAGGCCACCTGTTTGCTTAAGAACTAAGCGCCACAAAAACAACAGAGTCAAAAAGAAAAATGAAGCCCTGCCCAGCACCCATGGCACGCCAGCCTCAGCCAGCGCTCTTCCTGAGCCCAAGGTGCGGATTGTGGAGTACAGTCCTCCTTCTGCACCCAGGAGGCCTCCTGTGTACTACAAGTTCATCGAGAAGTCGGCAGAGGAGCTGGACAATGAGGTGGAGTACGACATGGACGAGGAGGACTACGCCTGGCTGGAGATCATCAACGAGAAGCGGAAGGGTGACTGTGTCTCTGCAGTGTCACAGAACATGTTTGAGTTTCTGATGGATCGCTTTGAGAAGGAGTCGTACTGCGAGAACCAGAAGCAGGGTGAGCAGCAGTGCTTGATCGATGAGGATGCGGTGTGCTGCATCTGCATGGACGGGGAGTGTCAGAACAGCAATGTGATCCTCTTCTGTGATATGTGCAACCTGGCTGTTCACCAGGAGTGCTACGGTGTGCCCTATATCCCCGAGGGCCAGTGGCTCTGCCGCCACTGCTTGCAGTCTCGGGCCCGTCCTGCTGACTGCGTGCTGTGCCCCAATAAGGGTGGTGCCTTCAAAAAGACGGACGATGACCGCTGGGGCCATGTGGTGTGTGCCCTGTGGATCCCAGAGGTCGGCTTTGCCAACACGGTGTTCATCGAGCCCATCGATGGTGTGAGGAATATCCCCCCAGCCCGGTGGAAACTGACATGCTACCTCTGTAAGCAGAAGGGCGTGGGTGCCTGCATTCAGTGCCACAAAGCAAACTGCTATACAGCATTCCATGTGACATGCGCCCAGAAGGCTGGCCTGTACATGAAGATGGAGCCTGTGAAGGAGCTGACTGGTGGCAGCACCACCTTCTCTGTCAGAAAGACCGCTTACTGTGATGTCCACACACCTCCAGGCTGTACCCGGAGGCCTCTGAACATTTATGGGGATGTTGAAATGAAAAATGGAGTCTGTCGAAAAGAGAGCTCAGTCAAAACGGTCAGGTCCACATCCAAGGTCAGGAAGAAAGCAAAAAAGGCCAAGAAAACACCAGCCGAGCCTTGCGCGGTCCTGCCGACCGTGTGTGCTCCATATATTCCCCCTCAGAGGTAAGCACATCTGAGCATTGGCTGGCGAATGGACCTGTAGTGAAGTACCTAAGGAGGAACTGAATTTGGTCCTACAGGGAGCCCTGCTGTATGGCCATGGCACTTCCTTCTAGCCCCTAAGATGTGGCTGTTTGCATTTACCACTGTTGGAGGGGCAGAGATGTTGTAAGACTTCAGCCTGATTAACTTGGGTGATTTATAGTCTCCTCACGGCTAGCTGGCCTGCAGTATAAGCCAGACACTGCCAGAGTAACCATGGTCACACTAGCGTTCACTTACCCAGTCTCTGCCTCTTGTGGCATCCTGGGTGTTGTTGCCATCTTTAACATCCCTTCACCCCACCAAATCTTGGGACCTTGTAGAATTAAAAAGAAAAAAAAAAAAAAGAAAAAATGGCTGGAAAAGTCACAGTGTGGTCTGTGAGGTAGCTCTTTTAAAGTAGAGGTTAGAATGGGAGCTGTGTCAGGAGGGCAGCTATGGGGAGGGAGATTGTGGCCTCCTTCCTGCTTTGTTGCAGACTTTCTCATTTTCCCACAGTTTGTTCAGTAGTGCATATGTTGCCTGGTCTACAGAAGGGCTCTCTGACCTAGAGCCCATGTTCTTTGTTCATGGTGGTGGGAGTCAGGCTCTACCCTTTCTCATATATGACCCAGGAACTGCTTCAAATTCCTTTTTTTTTTGGCAGTACTGGGGCTTGAACTCAGGGCCTACACCTTGAGCCACTCGACCAGTCCTTTTTTGTGATGGGTTTTTTCAAGATAGGGTCTCGTGAACTATTTGCCCAGGTTGGCTTCGAACCGTGATCCATCTCTGCTTCCTTAATAGTTAGGGTTACAGGCATGAGCCACTGGTGCCCAGCTCACATTCCTCTTGATCTGCCTTGGCGTGCCTCATCCTTTGTGTCCTCTTTCCTTTTATTTTTTGATTGTACAGGGTCCCCAGACCCCTTGTGTCTTCTTGACCTATTCCTCTTACCACTGACTGCTTTTATTTTGTTACCTTTAAAAAAGCTCTTTGCCTCGTTAAGAATATGCGGTAAGTGACTGAGTGAATTTTCACACCAGAACCTGTGAATGCTGAGTAAATGCTGCTTTTCCAGGTGAACCTGTTCCTTTTGTGCCTACTTGAACACTTCCTTGACCTTGAGGAAGTCAAGTTTTGTGTAGGGCCTGGGCTTTCACACAGTCTGGTCAGGTATGTAAAGCCCTGAGGTGATGAGGTACAGATGAAGGGGACATCTGGCTCCTGAGAGCGGCTTGCGCTGTCATGTTACAGGGACTGTCATGCTCTTGTCATTTGGAAGGGGCACACATTAATAAAATGCATTAGTTAGTTGTGCACAAAGCAGACAGACTTTGAAGATGCTTGTATTATAAAGGTCAGAAGTTGTCTTTAACATATCTAATGCTTGCATTTTGTGTTATTTCCCTGAGTATCTGGTTTGAAGTTATTCATTCTTACCACAAGTTGTGATTTCATGGTGGAATTGGGTGTTACTGTGTTACAACTTTGCAGCCAGCTCACTAGCTGGGCTGGGGGTAAAAACTTGTTTTACCCTCAAAGGAGCTAGCACTAACTTCGTATTAGCAGAGGTTTAAAATTATTTTTGTATGTATTATTTTATTTTGCTGGTGATTTTCCCAAATGGAATCTTGTTTTTCTTTTTCCCAAAACTGTGATACTCACTGTAGAATCAGTAAATTCAGGCAAAGTGAGTAAAAAGGGCTCATGATCCCTCCCATTCAAAGAAGATGCCAGTCAAAATGAAGCTGCCTGTCTTTGCCTGACTTAAAGATAGTTTCACTTGGATTTCTACTTATGAGCCGGAAAGGATAGGAGTATATCAAGAGGCCTAAAAGTTTAAGCTTTACCACAATTGAAGCAATTGAAACAGAAAGGCTGTCTACAAAAGACAAAAATCTAAAGCACCTCCCTTTCCCTGGCTGGTACCATGTGGCTTCTTGCTCCATGTGAGGGTAGGGCCTGTGGAATCCTGTGTCCTGTCCCATGGTTTCTGGTATTCAGGTTTTGGGATAGGAAGGCCTGACAGGTGGGCAGGACCGTTGTCAGGAGAGAGTATCCACAGGTCTGTAGTGGCCATGGCTGACGGAGAAAACTCAGGTTTTGGACCTTAATATTTCAGAGCAAGTGAGGTAGCTCAACAACGAATGGGAAGTTTGGCCCATGTTTCTTTTTTTTTTTTTTTTTTCCGTTCATCTAATTTAGGAGCAGAACAAACATATTTCAGCTTTGAGTAGGAACAAGAACGTGTACCTGAGCAAGTATTTATGTTGCAGACCTTGCAGTCTGGGTTGCCCTGATTCTCCAGGATACCTTGGTGTTTTAGGCGACCTTGCCACTCTTGGATAAGCTCCACTGTCCTCCATCTATAGATTGCATGGCGTTCGACCCCCTCCAGGGTGTGAGGGACGGGCCTTGAACATAGCAGTACTTGGTGTAGTTGGAGGCTAAGGCTTGCTGGCCGCTGTTCACCTGCCAGCACTGTTGTTAGGCCCTGGGTGCTGCCCTCGGATACGTGCGCTGCCCTTGGTGGGGTGCTGTTTGTGGTCGTTTGGCTGTGCACTTGGTACAGCTGGACAGTTGTGACATGATAGTCTAGGCCAGCTCAGGAGCAAGCTGGTCAGGCCAGAAGAGGACCATCGGCCCATCTGAGCAGTGTTTAGGAGGTCTTAAAGAAAGAGGCTCTCCTTTATTTAATTTTTAAATAATAAAGACTGCTTTTTACTTGTCTAAGCCATAGACTCTGGAAATCAGGTGTGGATATTTCTGGCTTTGCCTACCCATTTAAGTGCTTTTCCTAGAACTCTCTGGTGACACCTGCCCCACTCCAGCTGTGGAGCTATATGGCCCTACCTGATGTGGGTGAATGCCACATTTTGCTACGGGTGGATGTGGTGGGCTTCTTGGTGGTTCTACCTGTGAGGGTCCCAGCCTTCAGGACTGCCGAGCAGCTACAGAGGGTTTTGACTCTACTCTTGAGCTGTTCCAGTACTCAGAATTTTTGTTTCCGTGTCTTCCTCACTTCTAAAAAAAGTTTTCCAACAGAAAAAGTCACGTGAATTCTGGGAAATGTGTCTTTGCATGGTTTTGTCCACACACCACTATTGTGTGGTGTTTAACATAAACTTAGATGATGTAGGTCAGTCATGAGATGTGTTAGGCTGCTCCTGGGAAGCATGGCGTGCTGTTGTACGGTCAGTTTTTTTTAGTAAGTAGAAGGAGTGTGCTGAAACAGTTGAGTAAGTACAGCAGCCAGTTTCATGGTTGTGTACTACTGTTGTCAGGTACCACGCACAGTACCTAACTGGATACGCCGTTAGACAACTGGCAGCGACCCCACAGGTGAGATGAATGGTGTTATGGAGTCATTGGTCTTTAGGAAGTTCTCGGCTCCCTTGTGGTCTTGGGGGACCACCCTGTGCTGCTCATCATTGGGATCACTGCTATGCAGTGTGTCACCTTGCATTTGGGAAGACACACAGAGCAAGGTCTAAAGGGAACAGAGTTTCTTCTCTTCACATGTGCTCTCTCGATGGGCTTTATCGCCTTGCCATGCATTACATGCTGCTTTCTGGTTGAGTTCAGGGAAGGGTGTGGGAGAGAAGGGACAGGTGAGGGGTGGGGCCTCCTGGATCCTTGGAGTGACAGACTTTAGGTTCCCTGAAGCATCAACTCTTGTAACTCTGGTTGTACTTGGGGGAGTGACTGCTAATACAGGGGCTGGTGGCTGCTTTCATCTGCACTTGGGCTTGCCCTGGGCTGCTTGGATAAATCAGTCACTGATTTATCCAGTGACTGGATAAATGATGAGGCTGGAGTTCCTTCTGTTTGGTTTGTTCACAGTGGGACCCACATGCTGCTGGTAGGCACCCTCTATTCTGCTGCAGGTGAGGACCAGCATGGAGTCTGAGTGCAGACTGTCCACTTCATTAGATCAGTAATCTTACCAGCTTTTGGGTATAATAATAAAAAATTTTGCCCCCCTCCCCCATGTTCCTGGCAGTTAATTTTATTATATAGACCATCCCAGACTTATGATGGCTTACTTTTTTTTTTTTTGGTAGGACTGGGGTTTGAGGGCCTCATGCTTGCTAAGCATGCTCTCTACCTCTTGAGGTATTCCGCCAGGCCCCCTCCCCCCCCTTTTTTTTTAATGTTGGATATTTTTGAGTTAGGGTCTCACTTTGTCTGGCTAGCCTTGAACCATGATCCTCCTGATCTCTGCCTGCTGAGTAGCTAGGATTACAGGTGTGAGACACCAGTGCCTGGTGATTTACAATTTTTGAAAAAACAGTAAATGTGAAAATGATACATTTGGTAGAAACTGTACTTTTGAATTTTGAATTTTCTTTTTTTGGGGTAGCCATGTGTAGTACGATATTATCTGGAGATGTGGGTAGCAGCAGCCAGCCGCAGCTTCCAGGCAGCCCTGTAGTCACAGGGTCCTGTGTTGCTCAGCTAGGATGCAGTTTGCTCCTGCAGATTGACTGCTGGGAGGCAGATGATGTCCACGATACTGCTGCTTGGGAGATGGGGTGCAGTGGCTCAACCCTGTAATCCCATCTGCTTAGGAGGCAGAGATGTGATGATCAGGAGCCCCCATCTCAGCCAGTAAAAACCTGGCAAAACCTTGAGACCCTGTTTGGAAAATAGTGAAAGCAAAAAGGACTGCGGTCATGACTCAGGTGGTAGAGCACCTGCCTAGCAAGTTTGAGGTCCCCAGTGCCACCAAAAAAAGAAAAAAATAGTGCCACTTGGGAAAGAAGTACTAAAATAACAAAAAGTGATATGAAATGCTATGTGTGCAAAGCAGGGCCAGTGTGTTCAGAACTTGCTGCCGTATTCTTCTGACCGTTTGGGAATCTGCTGTGACAGGAGTAGCCCCTCTGTAGGAGCTCCTGCCCTGCTACAATCTGCTGTGAGGTGTGAGTGCAGATGGTGAGGGTGAGTGGGTGTTCACCTGAGAGGTCTGTGCCCTC